AAAAAAAAAAAAAAAAAAAAAGAAAGAAAGAATTGTCTGAGACTGGGTGATTTATAAACAAAAGAGGTTTAATTGACCCACAGTTCACATGGCTCCAGAGGCCTCAGGAAACTTACAATCATGGCAGAAAGTGAAGGGAAGCCAATTGTTTTAAAGTGTGGCACTTTTGAAAACCATCAGCTCTGGTGAGAGTGAACTCACTGTCACGAGAACAGCATGGGGGAACTGCCCCCATGATTCAGTCACCTCTCACCAGGTCCCTCCCTTGACCCATGGGGATAGTTGGGTAGGGACACAAAACATATCAGTTTCTAATGTTAAAAGGACCAATTGTTTAGATTCCAGGCTTCTCCTGTATATGAAATTCCCTGCTAATTTATTTCCTCCCTGAAATTACTTAATCAGAAGCTTCAAGAAGGAAGAAAGCCCCCCTCCCCCCCCAAAAAAAAAGAAAGAAAGGAACTTTGGGGTATTCTCTGTTTTGGCGGTTTCTGTTGTTTTTGTTTTAAAACACTGTGAAAATGTGTCAGGCAGACAGACTGTTCTGCTAGTTTGGCTTCTGCCAATTAATATTGTTAAGATGTTCCAGAAGAAAGTGCACACACTCAGCACGTGTCTGCTTTGCTTTGCAGAATAACATTCTCTCATCCTTTGTGTTTGGTGAGTTTTTAACCATCTGTGCAAGTTTCTGAGTTGTTTGAAGAGCTAAGAAAAGAAAGACTTATTTATTTAGGTTTCTTCACATTTTCATGTGTTAACCTGCTAACGGTATTGTCCCCACGAATGTGCTCTCCCAGCATACTATGTCTCCTTCATGACACAAACCATGAGGGGTTCTTATAGCTATAAGGATTAAAGTACTTATTTCACAGAAAATAATAGCTTATTTATTGAGCCCTTATTTACTAGTCACTGTATGGGCAGCTTTACATATATTAATCCATTAAACAGTAGTCCATAAAACTATTAAAGCGTCATTTTTGAAATGAAGAGACTGAGGCTCAGGAATATTCTGAAACTTGTCCGAAGTCACATAACTAGTAAGTAGTAGAAGTTAAAATTTGAATTTACACTGGTATGCACACCAGTGGGTATGTTATTTAGTTTCATTTCTGAGTAAGTAGATATTAAGTGATAATAGAATTATCATTCCATGCAAAAGATAGAAGAAACATAGAAAGCAAAGAACATGCCAAGAAAACTGTTCTTTGTTTTAAACATCAAGAATGCAATTGATAATTAGCCCAATGGTCGTATGTTTTTTCTTTGTCACTGTGCAAGGTTTAGGTGAAACTGATCCACTTCTTAAAAGTCAGACTATTGCCTTTTAAATGGACTTGTGTGTAAAGAAAGCTGACCTTTTTGTTCACTTACAATAATATTGTGAGAAATTATGTAATTCTCCGATCTCTTTCAGAAAAGAAGAGAAGAGAGCACTAGACTAAAGGAGGAGGGAAATGAACAGTTTAAGAAAGGAGGTAAAATAACTTTCAGCACTGATAATCTGGTCATCTTGATACCTCATCCTGTCGTAGAGCCTGTGAAGAAACCCCAAAGAACATTTGGAAACAGCTAGCAAAACCAGACTTCACAATACAGCGTTGCTTCCCAGTACCTTGGCATTTTGGGTTTTTTACTAGGCCAAATTATTCATCTGATGGTGACAAATTACCATTTGTCTCTTGGCATGTGCATGGTCTTTCTGTAATTCACTATCTGTTAATCTAGAATCAGGGGTAAAACTCTTTAGCTCTTGCTTTGGAAAATACTAACCTGGAATGTCAAAAGCCTATGTGCTGCATTGCTGTAAAAACCATGGTCCCCACTCCTCACTTGCTGTGGTCCCCACTCCTTGCTCCTGTAAAAGCAGGCCTGACTGCTCTGGTATGGCCTAGGGTTGCCTGTCCTTTGGTTACTTTCTTTTTTTTTTTT